CTTCCCATCGTGACAACTGAATATAACTGAAAACCCAAGTTCGAAGTTCGAAGTGTGTGCGTGTGCGTTCGTGTGCGTGCGGGTGCATGTGCATACGCGTGTCTGAAGCTGAGGTAGCCTGGCTTGTCCATCAGACTCTGGTGCGCACACCTGTGTGGGAGTGTGCAGGCGTAAGAAGCTATGCTAATCGTATCTAATCCTCGCATTTTGCTGTGCAAGGAGCCCCCGGATACCACCATGTGTTGTCCATATTTCTAGAATAGCTGCGGGTTGAGAATGCGCAACCTAAACAAAACCTTTTTAATGGAAATCTAGTTGCTTGATACAGAAGCTCACACACCTTAATACATACAGCCAAAAATAAAAACGCCAATCCAGTTTTAACCACCCTGCATTGTGAAAGTTAGCAGCTTTCCGGTGTGAAAACTGACCGCCCACACGGCCCCAGGTATCTCAATGTATATAGGATTCTAGGGGGTAAGGGTTGACGTGAGTTTGTGTCTCAAGAAGCGCAACTTTTGTCTGGCCAGTGCGTTGCAAAAGGGTGTTGCATTGAAAGGTAATTGAAAAGTGATTTTTTACCCGAGGAAACAATCTAAAGGTTTTCCATACACTCGTGCAAGATATACAAGCAGAGGTTGAACGGATCAGTGTTTTTTACATTTTTGCTCTGCGCTGCCCTGCGTTACAACAGGGGTGTTGCGAAAGGCAATTGAACAGTGATTTTTAACCCAAAGAAAGAACGGATCAGTGTTTTTCACATTTTTACTCTGCGCTGCCCTGCCTTACAAAAGGGGTGTTGCATTGAAAGGTAATTGAGAAGTGATTTGTAACACAAAGAAACAATGCAAAGGTTTTCCATACACTCGTGCAAGTCATACAGTCAGAGGTTGGACGGATCAGTGTTTTTCACATTTGTTGCTCTGCGCTGCCCTGCGTTACAAAAGGGGTGTTGCGAAAGGTAATTGAAAAGTGATTGTTAACCCAGAAAAGAACGGATCAGTGTTTTTCACATTTTTGCTCTGCGCTGCCCTGCGTTACAAAAGGGGTGTTGCATTGAAAGGTAATTGAAAAATGATTTGTAACCCACAGAAACAATGCAACGGTTTTCCATACACTCGTGCAAGATATACAAGCAGAGGTTGAACGGATCAGTGTTTTTCACATTTTGGCTCTGCGCTGCCCGGCGTTACAAAAGGGGTGTTGCATTGAAAGGTAATTGAAAAGTGTTTTTAACCCCAAGGAAACAATGCAAAGGCTTTCCATACACCCGTGCAAGATATACAAGCAGATGTTGAACGGATCATTGTTTTTTCACATTTTTGCTCTGCGCTGCCCTGCGTTACAAAAGGGGTGTTGCATTGAAAGGTGATTGAAAAGTGATTTTTAACCCACAGAACCAATCTAAAGGTTTTCCATACACTCGTGCAAGTCATACAGTCAGAGGTTGGACGGATCAGTGTGTTTCACATTTTTGCTCTGCGCTGCCCTTCAGGCAGACAAAAGTTTATGTCTTCTTGCATCATGTCTTGAAGATGTTCTTGCACTGATCTGTTGTATGATGACATCTGTGCGAACTCCTCTTCAGATCTCAAACATAGTTGAGAGTATCCAGCATGTAGGCAGTTGTACTCATCGTGTAGGAACTGGTAGGCCACTCTTGCAGAATGCAGTTCTTCCAACAGTTGCCCTCCCAATGGTGCGCGACTCTTGAGTTTGATTCCGCCTGGAAGAGCTGTAGGAGCAGAGTGGCAGGGAGCACGCTCCCCTGTCCTGTGGCTCCTGGCATAAGCGCTGTTGGATTGGCTAGGAAATGGGTTTCGGGTGGCAAATCAACAGCACTGACTTGTCGACGAGCGTCGCACTGACTTGCTACGACTGCAGGCAGGATGCTCCCTTGTCCTTCCAGCGGCAGGTGTGTCCAAATTCTCTGCCCCGGGTGCGATCTTGGTGTATGTCCAGGGCACTCTGGGTTGTCTCGAATCTCTTACTTCGTCGGGTTTTGTCTCCTCGATACTTCTCTTCGGTGATCTGGTAGTTGACATTCTCGGCGAAGTAGGTCTTGCGAGCCTTCATAAGGGTTTCTTTTCGTTTCCCAGGCCCCGGCAGCGTTCTCCGGTAGAGCACCTCTGCCTTCTCCTGAGACCTGGGATCCTGTGGGCATTGTGAGTACTGTGGCATCTCGCACCAGTCAATGATCCTGGTGACGATTGAGACATAGCCGGTGGGCGAAGCCTGTCAGTATATAATATACATGAAAGCCTCGGCAATGACCAGCCAGGATGAGTTGGTTGATTGGCTGAGGTCTTTAGAGATGGTCAACCGAAAACCCCGGGATGCCAAGAACTCAGTTTCATATCCTCACAAAGCACTGGCTCGCAGCGATGGTCCTAGGAATTGACATACTCACTACAAATAGGATCCAAGGACCTCAAGACCTTGGCCACTCATTAGATACACCCGGGAAGATTAACATAAAACCTACCTTTTGGAAGCCGATTTTCCTCTACAAACCAGTGATTTTCAGGTTGACGTGGGTCTCTTCAAGGTCCATCTTTTGGTCCCTTTTGCTTCCTAAATCACCCTTTGGTCCCTTTAAATCATCCGGAACTTGGCGTCCCAATCCTTCTTCCTGTCCACGTGGCAAACACCACTGTCCAGATATCCAGTTGTCGGCCCAACGGACAGGGCAAGAAGAAGCACGGAGCAGTTGAGACTTCACATCTGGAGGGATGACGTATCACTGCATCGAATTTCGGTCTTCGAATTTCGGTGCGAAGGAAGATGAAAAGACTTGGAAGTAGGAGAGGTGCGACAGGAATTCCAGGCCTATGAACCACTATTGTTTGGTTGATTCAGGAGCCGTTCGTACATGATTTCTCACCCCAGCCAACGCGACAAAGCTTCGACTGGCTCACCCCGTCGAGCTCATTCGGGGCAAAGCCAAACAGGCGACGTCATCAGCTCAAACAGTCCAATCAGTACATGCGACCACGGGAACTTGTGTTGGATGTCCTCTTCGAATAGACTCCAGCTGTGGTTGTGGTTGCAAACAGTTCATAACGAGGCTACCTGAGTTTGTAAGGTTATAAGTTATAAACCAGAATCACATAGCAGTCACTGAGTAGGAGCATCCTCCGGCATCTGCTTCTTTTCCATCCGCCCCATCCGCCCCGTGCTGGTCTTCTATCCAAACCCAGGCACAGTCGCACTGGCCACAGCTGGTCATCTCTGAGGAGAAGTTTTGAAGAGCATAGCTCACCTAGACAGAGACATTCGACACACAACAAAGAGACATTCGATGGAGTACCAAGAGGCATTGGCTAGCGTTATGGTTGTGAAACAAGACTCATGTCAAGTCATATATATTATATATCTCATGTGGCGCCAGCGAAATCCATGCATGGACGGCACGGCGTGACGAAGAATGTGTTGTTTGGCTCAAAACCACTCCTCGCCACGGAGTCGACTGTGCGACGGACGTCAACTCACCCAAGAGGAACGAACGCAGACCGGAACCTTCACGAAGGCTGGCTGGTGTCCTGGCTGGAGATCCACAAGTCTTTGCAGGGTATTCCAAGACAGGGTTGTCTTTTCCCTGGGCCAATGGGTTGTGATATTTTCCTTCTTCCAGGGGGTCAAACTGGGGGTCTCCCCGTTCTAATACACAGCACTAAATGTGGGTTTGTTGATAAAACGATTGGTTCGTTCCGCCCAAAGTGACATGGGATAACCATTTCCGGATGTGAAATACCCAAGAAAAACCATCTCCCACCTTTCCGAAACTGGCTGTCATGAGCCCATGGCACCGACCGGGGCGCAAGCGCCCGCCCAACTCACTCAGGAACTCACCGACCCCGTAACGGTCGGTCGTCTCTTGCACCGGTGCCACCGGTTCTGGTGCTCGATCCGCGAAAGAAAGCCTTTCGACGGGAGGATCGAATTCGTGACGTGACACCATGCCCGTTTGGGATCCAGTCGTAGCTCCTCAAAAGGTACGACTGGACCTTCCTGGCAACCCCAAACACCTTCTCAGAGGGTACGACTGGATCCTTAGAGATGGATACGACACCATGGGATCACCATGGTGTAACGAGTCGCCAGTGGTGTCGTTTCAATCGTTTCATGGTGATCCGATGGATCTTCGATCTGTGCAATCACTTGGTCAATCAGCACGCCGTGCGATGCTGGGTCCCGATCGGCTTCACCCCTGAAATCGTTTGGGAGCGAGCGGAAAACCGATCCGTGTGGGTTGGGTGTTGGACTGGGAATGTGGGTGTCGACTGGTATGGCTGGAGTCTGGAGAGTGAAACTTCGTTGTGTGAGGTGTATACACCTGGAGCCTGGATTCACAAGGGAAGCAGCATGGTTGAAAAACCATCAGCCAGCATCACAAGCTCTTTGTTTCAGGGGACGGCTTTAAGCTTCTTGTGAGCCCCTTGCCTGGCAAGTGATCTCAACTGTTTGAAGGCAAGTGTTGTGATATTTGGGCCATTTCCAAACAACATCGCCGGGAAAAGGGAATTTGGGATTGATTGTGATTGATTCCTTTTGCCAAGCAAAACCAATTTTGAGACATCTGGAGACCAAGTGCATAGAACGATCACTAAAGTCACTAAAGTTTATCCTATATATATCCCAAACACTCCATGGCACTGCCATTTGTACCTACATTCAGGTGGTTGCATTTTGGGGTTGTAGCCGGTCGTGTCTGGGTATACAATACCTATATACCACCCAGTTCTGCTTTTCCGTTTTTCGATCCGAGTCTGCTAATCCCAGTGGCACAGCCCACGGTGCCCACCGAAGCGCACCAATCGAGGTTCTCCCCCTGCGATCGGCTGCGCTGCGGAATCTCCGGATTCCGAAACCGAAAGTGCCTTCGATTGCAGTTTTGAAGGAATCAGTTGAAACCTTTCATTTTACAGTAATGTCTTGGTTTGCAACTGGAGATCGGATGTGGGTATGTCTCAATATCAAACTACTACGATCGACCAGACGGTACAGCCAATGTTGCCCCAGTGCCAGGCTGGTAACCCTTGGCAATGCCCGACACAAGGGTATCGTCCCCCACTCATAGACGTAAAAGGGGTATCGTCCCCAGCTTCGAGCTGCAGTACGTGACCTGTTGAGGCCTGGGATCGGCCGAAGAACCAAGGAAACACGGCACCTGCCACGCCGCGACCGAACGCGACGGCACGGGCGGCTCTCGGGCGACCGAACGCGACGGCTACGCACGGGCGGCCGACCGGCTACGCCTTCCTGTAGCTGTGGCATTGCCATCCATCCTGGCAAGGACGGCTGCGGACGAGGGCTCTAAACATCCGTCCCTGATTCCCTGATGTGGCTCTTACACAAGCCAAGAGTCTGCCAAGAGTCTGCCGCACATTCGCAACACAAATTGGTTCCAGGTCCCAAGCAACCTGCCTCCCTTGTAGAACTTACAAGCCTCTCCAAACAATCATCAAACACTAAACACTAAAAACACTAAACAGTCACTAAACGACGGCTTTCGATGCCACGTTTTCCATCGATGTCCCCCTTAGATTTGGGCTAGTTGCCTTAGGCATGGATCATATCTTGTATTTGGGGAGACCCCCGACCAATGGCTTTTGGTCCATTTCCCTTCTTCCAGGGTCTTTGCGAGGTCTCTTTGAAAAAACATGAAAAAACACCGCACCCATATCAAATTGATCTGATCTCATAGATGTTTTTGGTTGCACATATTTTGGTTTTTATTCTTCAAGAGGTTGATGCCTCGGTTCACTTCTTACATCTATCTACTCTCTTGACTCTGCTGTCCTGTCGCCCAAGAAATTCAACGAGAAAGAGGAAGAACAACACGTGGGTGTGCATTCAAACAGGCAGATCTCCCAGTCTATCCATTGGGCCATCCCCTATCAGAAAAACACACACACACACACACGTAGGTTTCCAGCTGCATGATGTCTGAGTCCGCAGCTGAAGCCGCTCTCCCCTAATGAAGGAATGCGAGTAAGTACCAGTATAAAAGCGAGCAGCGACACCGAAACGTGACTCTGCGGACCCTGAACTTGCCCAGGAAGCCGGGGAAAAAGATAGAACGCATTCAATTCCCCAGGATTGGGCCAGGTTTGGGGAACACATCGTCTGATACGCAAAACCCACGCGAACTAAGAGCCACAATGCACCGACCCCTTCGTGTGTGTCTGTCGCGCAACTCGGCCCACCTCGCCCTCCGCAGGAGGTGGACAGGGGGGCGGCTCGGGCGTGCAAAGGTAGGAGATCCAAATGTCCTTGGCTCGTCTCTGACGGTCGGACGGTGACGATCTGGGTTTGTCGTCATGAGGGGTGTGGTGTCATCTCAGAGGACTCCTTGAAAGAATGTCACCTTCCTCTCGTGCTCTTGAAACAAACGTGCCAAAATGATATCGGGTACGGGTTCACCCCTCTTCACCTTACATTTTTCAATATCATATCGCTTTGGCATCCCTTTTTTAAGTTATGCTGGGGATGCCGGGCCCCAAACGTCACTTGCATCACTAACACCATCGTGACCACTGATGGATATCGAAACACTGGGAAGTATTTGGTTTTAGGTCCTATCCTGACCCCCCCCGTCACCTCTGTTTCCCACCCCCCTCCGTTCGGTGCGGTCCCAGGGACAGCGGCAAAGTCGGCGGAGGTGGCCATGGATTCATGGGACGACCAAAAGCCACGCTCCAACATCCACCTACGCAGCCCGCGGCCGCAGCCGGTTTTATCGATCTGCTCTTCTGTTTTGGTGGTCTTGCTCAGTGGGCTCAGATGGAGGCAGTTGGCGTGGGACCTGTAAGGGTTGCTTGGTGAGAAGACTTCTAGACATGAGACGTGTTTGCATTCAAGCAAGATGGAGCCTACGAACCCGAATGCGAAAACGTACTCGAAAACTCTTGTAGGAGACACTTTTGCGGGACACTCTTGTAGGACACATTCATTTCGGAAACCTTTGTGGGACACTCTTGTGCACTCTTGTGGGACACCTTGTATGACACTCACTGTTGCAACTTGGGCGACACTCTTGTAGGACACTCTTGCGGGGCACTCTTGTAGGACACTCTTGTAGGACAATCTTGTGGGACACTCTCGCGGGACACTCTTGTGGGACACTTTTGTTTGTCACTCTTGTAGGAGACTCTTGCTGGACATTCTTGTGGGACACTCTTGCGGGACACCCTTGTGGGGCACCCTTGTAGGACACTCTTGCAGGACACTCTTGCACGACATTCTTGTGGGACACTCTTGGACACTGTTGTTTGTCACTCTTGTGGGACACTCTGGTAGGACACTCTTGCGAAACAGTCTTGTAGGACAGTGTTGTGGGACACTCTTGTGTGTCACGCTTGTGCGACACTCTTGTAGGACACTCTTGTCGGACACTCTTGTGGGACACGCTTGTAGGACACTCATGTGGGACATGCTTGCAGGACACTCTTGTGGGACACTCTTGTAGGACGCCCTTGTGGGGGACTACTAAAGTCTCCAAAAGTCAACCGTCACGTCTCCAGAACGAGCAAAAGTCGCACGTGAAGTCTACCAAACAAGCATGTCGCGCGAGACTTCTTCCAAATTCACTCGTCAAGTCTCTAAGAACAAACGTTTCGCGCAAGACTTCCTCAACAAGTCACACGTCAAGTACGAGACTTCCTCCAAAAGTCCAGCGGGAAGCTCCATCGGAGCACACACATCAAGCAGCCCTGCCAAGCAGTTTCGCGATTCCAGCCCCTCCAAACAACACCCGCCCACACGCCAATCCCAATGTCACAGCGACATTCACCTCCACCACAACTCGCAACCTCACGATTCCCTGCGCCTGCCACGAAAATTTACACGTCCACACGTCTAACACGCGCAAAGTACTGCGCCTGCCACGAAATGCGACCTCCGCCACACCTCGCAACCTCCTCAAAAGTGAGAATATCATATCATGTGAGCTTCAACAAGATTTGCACCACTCCACACGTTTGGAGATGGCCCACCCAGGATCATAATGTGTTGGTTTCCTCGTCCCTCTTGGGTAGGGGCTTGGCTTGCCGGAGGAACTCGAACCTCCTCAGACCCTGTCCCAGAGTTCCTCAACCTGGAGTTCACGCTGCCTCTCCCCTGTAGTCAGTCCAGCCCTCGCTGGAAGTGGGACGTTGCATGGCGGCAGCAACCCCACACGGACCTACGGGGAAGTGGGAGCAAGGTGTTCCAGGCTGGTGAGCCGTTGACCTCCGTCATGTGATGGGTCACCCTCCGATGGTGTGATGGTGTGGTCAGCTTGTGTGGTGGCTGAGAGCTCTGCCGCTGTGAAGAAGCCCTGAAGTGACTGGCCCAGGTAGTGTCCGGACCTAGTCAAGAAGGAGGCCACTTCAAGGAGCTCCGCACTCCCAACCCACACTGGCCATTGCCACTGGTTGGAGCACCACATCTTTTGCAGCCTGGACTGCCACATCTGTGAACAATGGCAGCTGCGTGCCAACGAAGGCGAAGCGGAGCTGCCCTGACATGGACAGCGCCACAATATGCCACGATCCACAGAGAAGTAGGCTTTGGATGGCTCCATTGTTCTTGCTAACGATGCGCCTGCGTCTCCACGAATGGCGCGACCTCAACTTGACACGGCTGTGGTCCAGCGTGCAATGTCAATGTTCTGGCGCGCGCGTTGACTGCAGTGAAAGAAAGGGCAACTTCAAAAGGTGTTGCCTTCCGTAAGGAAGAAACGCCTGCCACATGTTTGACCTATTGGGCATGTGGCAAGCCCAAGATCCCAAGTTCATCTGAAGCGCCATGGTCAAGCGTGCAGCTAGTGAGAAAGCGATGTGTTTGCTTCATTTCCTTTTGCTCCTACCACAAACCACCAACCATCGCATGACATCTTCAGCCCTAATGAAAGGGTCACAGGGTCACCAGGGTGGGCTTGGTTTGTGCAACGGCTCAGAGCACGCAAGGAACCCAGGCCGAAGAGCCTGTCTTGAGAAACGGCATGCATGACGCCCGCAAGGTGGTGGAGCATCAGCGTGTCGTCGTCATCAAAATCACCATCATCATCATCGTCATCATCATCACCCCTCTCTGGTATGGTTGAGCCCAAATACATTGAATAAAAGGCTCCCTTTTTGAATTGTTCAACGATTCGACCGGTTTTTCACATGGCCAGGCGCAGAACTGGGTGGCTTCAACGATTAGAATCTCCGCCTTCCCTCGGTCCGGGCTTTTGTCGACCACAAGACCTTAGGTCCGCTCTTCATTCCCATGCACGCCAACGAACACATCACAAGAACCTAATGATACCAGGGGCCATCACAAGAACGTGCTCTTTTTTCCCGAATGCGTAGCGAAGGGTTCTCGTTTAACTTATGGGGGCCTGGGCGTAGCGAAGGGTTCTCGTTTAACTTATGGGGGCCTGGGGGTAGAAACTTGTTCGCGACTCGTTGCCTGAGCGACCGCAACCGTCCGCAACCGTTTGCAGCCGTCCGCGGTAGGGCGCTAAGGCGCTGCCATCGGAAGCTTTTTGGAGAGAATGGAAGCGTGACGTGTCAGATTCGTGTGAAATAGCGAGCAATCGCGTGGAGACGTAAGATGTTGAAGTGTGGAGGATGATTTCACTGCGCAGGCGCAGCATTTTGTGAGATCCGCAGTTTTCTGCGCTGTCACGTTGGGGTTGGCGTTTGGAGAAAATGGTGTTTTTGGGGTGTTGGATGTGGCTGTGACAGTGGGATTTGCGTTTCAGGGTGTTGCATCGAAGCTGTGTGTTCGTGACGCGATTTTGGTAAGAAGCTTGGGTGGTCGTTGTCGTCAGTCAAGAACTCCTCCAACTACCTCTACCCCTAAGCTGCATGCAGTTGAAGGCCACCAGCAAGAAGGGCGCTCCAGTCCTGTGATTCCCGAATAAGTAGTTCTGACAGAGTGGAGAAAGACGGTGGCCAGCTGCATTTGAGCACGCTTTGCGCTTCAGTGTTACCCTGCCAGTGCACCTATGCTTTGGAGGATACAAATCTCAGGTGGGTGCGTTGATTCCAGTCACCCACATGGAAATGTTGCAGCGTTCCTGCAGAAAAAGCTCCATCACAAGGACCCACACGCAGCAGAGGAATATGCGCAAATCTAGCTCAAGCCTCACAACTAAACAACTGATGTCTTCTCTGCCCACTTTCAAGAAGAGTATGGACCGCATGCTACAGTCAACAAAGTCATCGCAATCCTCGACATTCAAAGCCCCGGGCACTGCCACCGCCTGGCACAGCACTTCCAGATGTCTCTTCAATTTCACGGCGCGTCTGCCAGTATGAAGCGCATGTCCTTTGTACAAGCACCATCCACCTGCTTTGGCCGGCGCAACTTCACACCCTTTTTATCCCTTTTTGCTTTAGGATCAAAACACGCAATGGTACAGTAGCTTCTGCTCTTCAAGCCTTGCAACCGCACGCGTTCCCTACTTGCTTTGTCCCAGTGTTTGCTGCATATCTTACTGGTTCTGTGCCCAAGCTGTTGGCCAATAGCGCTGGGCACGTGTTTCGCGAGCCCGCCTGTCTTGGAGGGGGTGAGCGTCTTTGAAAGTCCTTCAGAGGTTCCTTGGGAAATGTTGAAACATTGCCACAGCCACTGGTGCCTTTTTCAACTGTCTGGTTCGAAGGTGAAAACCCTTTGAACCACAACTTACACTCAGTCAGTGGTGGTCACCACGCCTGAGGCTTCTTTATCAAGTCCAACAGTTTCAAAGCTGCAGCACTTCTCTATATCTATCCTACGTGCAACACCTCTAGTGGGCTGGTGGGGGTACTTCTCCAACTTCAAATCAATGGTTCCAGCAGGCATAGTGGTGGGGCCAAGGAAAAGAGACAAAGTGTGGGTAGACCGGGGTTGGGTTTGGCAGTGCAGGACAGTCGCCCTGGGGTTGGTGGCTCCTCTCTGGCGGTGAGGACACTGTGTTCAGCACTATGAATGCCATCCATGCCCTGCACAGCCCACAAAAGCAACAAGGCGATGAGCAGCAAAAAGAGTGAGAAAACGTGAGTGAAACAAGGTGCCGGCGTTGTTAACGACCCTGGAGATTTTAGCACTTTCAATCATGCATGGAAACGAAGAGTCTATTGGAAACCGCCGGGTTTTGTGCTTCATTCATGCTTTCATGACATTATTTTCGTTTGGGTTTTTAGAGTACGAGGCCCCTCAAGAAAGATCAAAAGGCTGAATCTCCCTCGTCTTTTAAGACAACAACAACAACAACGTATGTTGAGGAGAGAAATCATTAACCCTCGCAGTGTTTCGTGTCGAATTCATGTTTTCCTGACATGCGGTACATTGCATCTTTTGACTTCTGCGAAGCAGACGCACTCAGAACCTCAGGCACTGTTTGCCCATTTTTTCCAAAGGCTCTTGCCACGTCCACTGGAGCACTTGGCGTGGATACTGCTATACACCGTGGTCCACGAAGATCGTGAGAAGTGCCTAGAGCCTTTAAAGACAACGTCCAACGATCCGGGTCCAGAACCGTGTCCAACACAAAACTGTCAAGAGGTCCCGTGTGTCTGTCTAGTTGCTACAGAAGCCAAGGAACCCACATATGTCCACTTCAAACCACAGATTCAACAGAGGATTCGGACAAGGTACCCTAACCAACCGCAACAGAACCACCAAACACAACGACAACACCTCACGAGCTGTGAGCTCGCGCATCCTGAAGCCCAATCAGCTCAGCGACGCGGTTTCATGCAACAAACAAGCCAAAAAGCACCAAGCTGACCACCAAAAACAACCGAACCCAACATAGGGAGCCTGTCAAAGGCAACGGTGCAAGTCCGAAGCAACAAAACCACCATGGTCCATGTACTGTTTCGGGCAACAACCATACCACGACGTAAACGCTCAACTGTCGTGAAACAACCAGAACACGACGTAGTTAGCCCCCCCCACCCCACTAGGGCTGGCACACTCCATCTTTAGTTCCCCACCTGCCAGGTGAGGGTTGTTAGATTTTATCAGAAATGGCGTCCCCCTTCTCCTCCTCCTCCGCCGGACCTCACCTGCCAGTGCCTTCATCGCCGTGGGACCGCCGGACCGCCAGCGTTTTGCCTCGTGAAGGAGTTGACCGCTCCGGAGGAAGGCTCCTCAACACCAACCAGGTCTCCGCACCGCCGTCGCGCCGTCCGCGCCGTCCCGCTCGCAGAGCCCGCCTGCGACTCGCCTCGGCGCCGGAGCGGTAGGGCTCCACCTCGAAGTCCTTACCTGGGCGACAGCCGGGACGGGGTCGGTGCGGTGGTGTTCGAGTTAGTCTTGGCACAGGTTCCTGGACAGGTTGAACAGCCATATCAATAAACATATTTTATATAATTATGTATAATTGTATAGCCTATCCCACAAGTACCATGACCCTAGGGTCCTAGTTCAGGTCTTTCAACCTCTGAAAGATCTTCTACGGGACTTCGCCCGGGCGCAAATGCAAGTGTCGCTTCTATTGCCGAATCGCTGCTCTACGTGGGACATCGATCGGGCGCAGGCCCGGCGCGATGTGCAGCGGTGGATGACGTGGGTGCACCATGACGTGGCGGTGGTGGACGTGGCGTAGCGGTTGACCCTCCAAGACAAAGGAACTGAAATCCCTCAGGTCCAAAACTTGGGGGGGGAAGGGCGATCACCGAGGGGGATGCCCAACCACAAACAGGTCTATCGCAAAAAGAATCCGTAAGTCAAGTCTGGATTTCACCTGAGGTGGTCACACTGCTTCACACTAACCCCCCCTTCACCTTGAACACAACAAATGCCCTTTCTTGTGGTCTTTTAAGCTTTCCCCACCATTCAGCAAGTCGTTCATCGAAATCGATCCAATGAACCCGACCTGCTGCGACCACGTCCGACCTCTAATAGGAACCATGCAGGTAACAAGTCGCCTTCAGTACCTCCCCTGGAAACCGAGTCCCAACCAGACACAATCTGGGATGCTTCCACAGTCCCAACCACTTGTTATGTAAAGGATCTCAACTGCCAGCTGTTTCTGGTTGTTTCCAGGCCCTTCTTTCTCCGGTGATGAAACAATATAGTCTTTCTGGCCCTTGGCTGGAACATTCCAAGGTCGGAAAGTCTTCCGTGCTTTTTCGTCCAGAGCCGAGTGAGACCAGCACGTCTTTTTACACGAACCACCAGCAAGACATATGGTTCGTTCAGGTTCTCTTTTCAACCAATGGGCCCAGCAACACGTGTATACAGATTCTCTTCTCCTCCAACCCTAGCACTACAAAGATGGAACAAACAACCATAGATTCATGGCATTTCATGCCTATTGCACCCAAACATGACAGTCACAAACACTAAAATATGCCCGGAGGATGAGTCTGAAATCTGCGTTAAGAAACAAAAGGAAGCTGTCCTCTTTTCGCATTCATTTACACAACCCCGACATCTTTAGTAACTATAGTACCAGTAGGGCCCCTTCTCTTCCACCCCCAACCAAAAACCACCTAATATGCTCCCCCCCCAAAAAAAGAAACCAACGACCTCGTTCGCGGTTTTCCTCATAGCTTTATCTGTCATTTTGAGTCCATGTCCCCGATCCGTTCCTCGTCGTAGCGGCTGCGCGGATCGAACATGGGCAGCCCATAGAGCAGCTTCCGCGTGGGGTGGATGCCATAGGACTGCGACCTCGGTCCCCCGCAAGGTCGGGTCGACGTGGGCGGCAGGAGAACGAACGGTGGTGAAGGACGAAGTGCGCCCCAGATCTGGTTGATTCGGTGGGCCAAATGAAGGACCGAATTGATGTGGAAAAAGGGTTGGTGATGTTCATCGAACATCATCAAAACCTATATCTGCGGGTAGAAACAAGTGGCCTTGTCAGAATGATTTGGTAGGGCAAACCATGGTCTAGGGGGTGGAAGCATCAGTGACTCTGGAGAGTCTGTGTTATTGTACCTTAAGAACTGTTTCTTCCCACCTTGGTGAGCTGGGGTATTACAAACATCGATGTCTTAGGCGTCTAAGATTCCCCTGAGCTCCAGAACGCATTGGACAAGCAAAAGCTCAAAAACGCAGTTAACCACAACCATTAATCACGGACCTCTCCACAATATTCAAGATTCCCTCCGCATTCCACCATATGCGCGTCATCAGGCGCAAATAGCACCCCAACACCGCCCCCCCCCCAAAGCGCAAAAACCGTGGTGGATGAGTGATTTCTCGCCCAGCCAGACGCTCCTGGACCCTCAAAACACGATGGTTTTGAGGGACTCGTCTGGGCTGTTTGGAGCGTCTGGGCAGCTCAATTCGCTCCCTCCGAAGTGCAATCGTCAGACCGGTCTTCCTTGCACCCCCCTCGGTCCGGGGTTCAATTCACCGGTCTTGTTGTGGAGCTGTGAGAGGAGCTGCCAATGCCCTTCACCTCCCGCTTGCGCTACACCACAGCCCCAGCTTCCGCATCTTCACGCAGACCCTGGAGGAGCGCGGGGAACGCAGCTCTGGAGCGGCCCAACTCACCCCTTCTGCCGTGAAAAACTGGTCATTCCGATCCCTCTCACCAGCCTTGAGTGCCCAGGAACTCCACGAAGCAAAACTAATTGGGTGACGCGAAGCAAAGAGGACGCGGAGGGACTAGCTTCGGCCATCTGTGGATAGAGCTCCAGCTTCATCTTCATCCTCCGCTCCTTCCGTGTGAAGAGTTGGATCATCCATTTCAGGATTGGCCCCTTCCCTTCAGACATGACCAGGTCTTTTTGCAAAGGCCAAAGGCAGCTTTGAGGCTGGACAAGCAGGGCACCACAAGAAGTACTGCTCACTCACCAAATGTCTGTGGCAGCTGAAGCTCAGCCAGGACAGCCGTCCCTCCATTCAGCTAATTAGACATGTGCAGTGAGTGCCACCTACCTTCATGTCCTGCCCTGCGGAGCTGGTCGACACTCGCGTGCTGGCCGAATCGCTCCTCCCCCGTCGGAGAGTAGGGGCGAAAACCCAATCAATCCAAGAGAGGTTGAAAGACCTGAACTGGGACCCCAGGGTAATGGCACATATGGGATAGGCTATATTATGGGTTGAATACAACCTTGCTAGGATCCTAGGGACGAGTTAGGGAGTCCAAGCTGACACCGAGCCACGACCATAGCACGGCCAACGGTCCGAGCCATGTCCGATCAAGTGCTGGCCACATGGTGCAAGAGGCCCAGAAACGACCAAAACGATGATCAAGTACTGGCCACGTTTCAACGAGAAATTTCATTGACTAGAACGAGTTACTTTTGTGATCAACTTGTCAACTCCAAGTAAAGCGAGGTCAGTTCCTGACCTCCTTCAGGTCCCTTGGTCCCTCTCCGTCCCGCCCTTCCCATCCGTCGAAGCAGCCAGCCAGTGCCCGGAGCGAACTTCACCTGCGGCGCTTGCGTTCTTCGGTCGCGGTACGCGGAACGCGGAAACACTGCGAAGGTGCAGTCTCTGAACATGTGAGCCGTGCTTTCAGATGTTTTGAGAGATGACACGGACCGAAAATACATTGTTTGTTAAATTGGAGGTCCATCTACTTGCAGCACCAAACTTGTGGTTTGTGCCATCTACTCTGAAACCAATTATACTAGTCTACAGGCAATCATCTGCAACCTTAGAACGTCAATGGAACAAAACTACGGAACTTCTGCACCGTCCCTTTGAGATCATCGTCCGTGTGAAGCATATTTATGTCAAACGTGAAACACGGTTGGTTCAACCTCGGCGGCCAGGCAGCCATGAGCAGAAGCATGAAACCAAAACAAACCCGCCATAGGACCGGAAGAGATACATCCTACATTGACCCCTCACTCTGCTGAAAAACCACTCCAAGTGACTGGTATATGTGCCAGTCCCATGGGTCGTGTCTGGGTATCCTATCCTTCCAAATAACTTGTACATACTAGTTAATTACTTGTATACTCTCCCAATCCCTCCAGAGTTGATCCCCTCCCGCGCTCCGCCCGCTCCGCCGTGGCGTTTTCACCGCAGGACCACACCGAGACCACCGGCCTTGAGGAAGGTGTCCGCGGTGAAGTTGGCGCCCCACGTGAAATGGTCCACCAGCCTCAGTCCCCAAATGAAGCGTCAGTGGAGGTGGGCAAGTGGTTGTTGCTCATGTCATAAAATGTGTTGTTTTTTGGCCGGCCGAATTGTAAACAGAACGAAGAAGGGATGCGGAGAGACAGCTTGGGGTGAGTGATTTCACTGCATTCGATCGCGTTCTGATGAAGCTCATCGGCCACCAGCTGCTTGATCATTTTGTAATATGTTGTATCACTCACCAGTCAACTCGATAGGTGTGGTTTGTCTTGATTCCAGGCAAGGTACTAGATTTCTATATGATGCAAATCTGGGCCAGAAGCACTTTTTGTCGCAATGCATGTATTTCACAGACGGTTAAACATATCAATACCAAAATAAAAGTCTTGTTGCTGAGCAGGCCGGATTCATTAGTCGATTGATCGGTACCTGTTCAACCTTTTTGTTTTAGAAGAGCATTGCCACTTAGACCCAAAGACGGTGATAAGCAAGATACAGAGACGATTTCATGAGGGAAAGGAAAGAGTTGGATTGAAGGGTCAATAGGAGGCCAATAATTTACGCCTCTAAGATCCCTATAGACTATAGATGGAATCTGGGACGCCGAATTCCAGTCCAATTGAGCACTGGACTCCACATCCCACAAAAAGAACACGACAAAGGAATCGACATCAGAACGCTCTGGAACCTAGCATGTGAATCATGAACAACATGATCAATCACACACACCCACACACACACACAAACCCACACCCACACACACACACACAAACTTGAACCCCCAAGTGCACATGGGCCATAGGGAAAAAAACAAAACCTTTTTCTTAAATCGGAATATGGGCTTAGACTCACATTGAGAAACCAACCCGGCTTTCTACCTGCTCAATGCCAAAGCCAACCCTCCCCCCAGCTGGTCGCATGCGCCTCATGGGCCAATCCGGCTCGTCGCCCCAGGAGTTGAACTCGCCACGCCTCAAGGCGGTTAGGTCGGTGGGAGGGAGAAGGTGAGAGTGGTAGCGGACGGTCCATTCCTTTCCCCAAAAACCGTCTTCTTTATTTCAAACAAAAGGGTATGCATCTTGCGAATCTGTCCACCTGTGCCTATTGGGTTTGAGTAAACCGAAAACATGTGGACTGGGTAGGGGTGTTGATTGCTTCTAAGCCTTGCATCAGTTGCCTCCCTTTCTCTCATCAAATCCGACAGTCGACTGGTCGAACACCCGCCGGCGTGGCCGGTCGAACACGCGAGTCGACCCCTCACGTCCCTTCGGCGGAGAAACGCCCTTCACGGCCCCGGTCGACCCCTTGGAGTCTACCTTGACTGAAACAAAAGATATCGGATGGAAATGAATGGAGCTGAATGCTGGAATATTCCGGACCAAATGGGTGCTGGAATTCTTTCAGACAGACACTTCAACAGCTTCTACATTCCCAGCTACGCTCCACGACTTGAACACCTGGCACCCGAACGTCAAAAAGTAGACTTGGCAAGGAATCCATATGTGTCATTGAATGGAAAGCAACATGAAATGTTCCAAGTCCAGAGTCTATACCTGTCCAATCAATGCACCGAAAAACACAGGGCCGGGTTTCCTAGTGTTTTTCTCATGCCACTCCTCTATTTTTTGGGAAACGAAGGGCCAAGCCTTGCTGAAGCCCTGTACCATTGGAGATCCCCACTACACTAGTCGAATCGCAAGCTTGTTGGGGGACGCGCAATCGTGTTGGTCGTTGCTGGGCTGTTTCACACTTCCACACTTCCACACGCTGGGTACGACAGACTGGCGCACTCATCTTGGTACGATTCTTCCAGTGGCAAATGCATCCGACGCGCCAGGTGTTGCCACTTCCACGCTTCACACGCAACTCGTTGAGGTACCGGGTTCCGACGAGTCTCCCACCAGACTCGTGGCCACCGAGTTGCAAATGCATCCGATGATGCCAAGAACTGTGACACCGAAGTAGTGTTCGAATCAAGCAATCTCCTGCACGGCGAGCGGCGCGTCCCTGACCAAAAAAGAAACAGCACACTATATGTAAGAGATCAGCTGCACAGCCCTTGAATCACCTCATATGACCATCATAGAACTCATCATAGAGCTTATTCTACATCATGCAAATTTTGGTGTGTGCGACCGGTATTGTTGTTCACCATTGCCATGCGAGTTCAGGAATTCCAAGTGAGCCTTGGTGGATCCCGATCCATGGCGATCGCGCCAAAGGATCGCACCTCTGGTTCAGCTGTTGGTCTAGCCGTCTAGCCAGTAGCCTTTGACCAAGAAGCCGCCAAAAAGATGTTGACACTGATGGATTCTCATATCCAGACCCTGGGACTCCAAAACGATTCTCAAGAATTGTATTTCAGATTCTTTGGGTGACCCGAAAAAATAGAAAAAACTTACTTTACTTCGGGAGGGTGGACATATCGTAGACCTGCGTTCGGCAGCCCTCTTCCTGGTTCTTATAGAAATGGGATGGTACGTGACAAGAACGCCGCTGCAGAACCAGTTTCACAGTTCTTTTAGCATGACATGAAGCTACGTCACACACTCAAACATGGCAAAGCAAGGTTGTCATTCAACTTTTTCTGATTTTGTCTGAATGGCCAAATATCGCTAAACAACAAAACAACCCCCCTGTTATATACAGATCCCTGTCGCCCTAACATCTGTCCCGGACGCCCACCGCTTCAACACCTGCCTACACGGTGGTTACGTTGATGGTCCCCTCCAACTATGTATCGAAGCTGTTCCCGGTCCCGGGTCCCAGTACAGACCTTCCAGCTGTTCCCGGGCCATCCCTTCCGCTTCCCGATTTCTGGTGTTTTCCAATCAGAAAAACATCTCCCCATGTGCATCCTCTCCCCAGTGCAGCCCAGCTGGATCGACACACCGCATGGACCGACGGAGCCTGCGATGTAGCTGGAGCTGCCCTCGGCATGGTACTGCACCAGCACGCCCACGCCTGGTCTCGCGGATCGTGCGCGCCCGTGCGGCGAAGAAGGCGTCTCTTTCGAAGGCTAGAAGGAGCATGGATTTTCGGGGACCCTGAAACCAGGAAAGAACACCATGTGAATATCATGTGAACACCATCTACTTCTCACCCATGATGTTTCCACAGAAGTTCAAACAATATCTCAACACAGCATACAAACCTCCATGGATCCGCCCCAATCATCATGGGCACAATCCATCTTCTTCCCATCTGAGGACAAGCTCTCCTAAACTTCGATGAAGCAAAATGCCCTTGGCCAAATCTGCAATCTTTTCAAGGGAGACTCCACCAACGGTGCAGAAGGTTTCAGGAGGGATGTTTCACGTCATGGCCATTGTCTTCAGGCGAAAAGCAACCGACGAACTAACGGCCGAGACACCCAGAACGATCACGACGAGGACGTGCCTGAGACTGCCCTCCACTCGCTCTGGGCTTCGTAGGGCCGCCACTGGGTCCAGTTCCTCAGGGGCGGGCAGCAGTTCAACGGCAGCAGTTCAACGCCGAACGGGCGAGTGTGAACGGGCAAGCAACCAAACTGAGTTCGCGGTGCGGAAAGAGTGACCGGTCTAGCTTTCCTTCTTTTCGATAGCCGCTGGTTTCTGACAATGGAAGACGCGCCAACAGCTTCTCGCTCCAAACTTCTATCTCCTCTTCTAACGTCTTGAACGCTTGTTCCATACTGGATCGATGACACACGGCCCTGAGGCCGGCGGCATATCGAATATGCCCACTTTCCACCAAATGGGCTGCCACGCTGGCAAGCCCCGCGATGTACGAGTTTTTGCTCAAGGTGGTGGAATTCATTTTCAGGCGCTTGAAAGTGGTGTCGATCACAGTCTGGAGCTGCTTGACTGATACTGACAGTGCGCGCTGCACTCCCTTTGGTTGCTCCTTGGAGGAGGACCGACTCGCCTTGACGGCGGTCGTCCCCATGCCGCTCAAAATATTTAAGCCGATCACGGCGGCTGCCGTGCGGATGTCCCCACCAAGGAACGACATCATCCCAATCACGTCGACCCTTCTGGAGCTCGCTCCGGAGTAGCTGCAGAGGTCCGCCACCTCTTCGAGGGAAGCAAAGCTTGCAAGTGAGTCGTCCTCCACCACGCTGATGGAGAATTGCTCTAACAACTTTGTTAGAGAATCCGAATCCACAGCCATCACAACAATAGGGGTGTTTTTTCAACAAAAACAAATGTAAAAACCAGCAAGCAAAAGAAAAGAAACGAAGGGACCATACAAGACAAAACCTGGACCTAGTAGCAATGGCCTCCACCCTAGTAGCAATGGCCTCCAACCTATATAATAGCGATGGCCTCCAACCTAGTAGCAATGGCCTGCAACCTAATAGCGATGGCCTCCAACCTAATAGCGATGGCCTCCACCCTAGTAGCAATGGCCTCCAACCTAATAGCGATGGCCTCCAACCTAGTAACAATGGCCTCCACCCTAGTAGCTGTGGCCTCCACCCTGGTAGCAATGGCCTCCAACCTAATAGCAATTGCCTCCGACCTAGTAGCAATGGCCTCCACCTTAGTAGCAATGGCCTCCACCTTAGTAGCGATGGCCTCCAACCTAGTAGCGATGGCCTCCATAGCGATGGCCTCCAACCTAATAGCGATGGCCTCCAACCTAGTACCAATGGCCTCCACCCTAGTAGCGATGGTCTCCACCCTAATAGCGATGGCCTCCATAGCGATGGCCTCCAACCTAGTACCAATGGCCTCCACCACCCTAGTAGCGATCGCCTCCACCCTAATAGCGATGGCCTCCGCCCTACAAGAAAAGAACCTTCTTAGGGGTTAAGAACTTGTCGGGATCTTATTTGTCCTTCCTTGGCTTGTTTGGCATTCGTTTTCAATTACCTCTTCTGAAAAACAATACTGCCTGGGTCGTTTGACTTTGACAACTCTTTATCTTCCTTCTTCGCCAAACTTTAGAATATGTGTTGTTTTCTTTTTCTTTGTAGACGTCTTCTTTTCCATTCGAGTCCGAAAATAAACAAGAAGTCTAAAAGGTCCTCCGATCTTCGAAGGGAAAAAGGAAAAGACATACAAAAGAAAGGTGACCAAAAAGAATAATTACCAAGAATAGTATACAAGAAATAAGTAGAAAGAAGGAACTCGTTCTGTGGTTTTGAGATTTGAGGCTGCTGCTGCCCGAGGTGGGCCCTTGGTGAGTGAAACTGAGGAGGATACTCCTGGACAAGCTTTTGCGAAAGGATGATCTTTTGAGGAGGTATACCGTATACCTTTCAAACAGCTCAAAAGCTGTCAAATGATAATTCGGAATTTGAACCATGAAATCCCGTCTTTCATGTGCTTTTGAAGCGTCTCCCCTTCTCCTTCTTTCTTTCCCGCTTCTTCCGTCGATCTAATGTCGGAACCTGCAGAGGTTAAGTGCTACCGCGAACTCAGTTTGGTTGCTTGGTGATCTGGAGACAAGAACAAAGCATGCTCAAGATCTGTGTTTCTCTACCTAGTACTTTACATGAGCCACGTTTTTTTGTAAATGATAAGGTTTATACAAAAAGGGAACTGTTGAGAAGGTGCGGAGGCTGTTCTGCTTGGGGCGTAGGCGTCGTGTAAGCATTTTGCGTAGGTGGGTGTTGAAAGATTTGCGTAGGCAGTCTTGCGTAGGCACACTTTTCATGAAAGCCTGAGTTTTCTTATTCAGACTTCTTTAAAAATTGTTCAAGGGTCTTGGGGAAAGATAATGTTGGCTTGTAGTTGTTTAACTTGACACTTGCTTGCAAGCTCCAGTGGGGAAGGAAAATGAAAATGAAGTGTAACGACATGGCTACAGTGGATGTTTGAAGTTTGTTTGTCGAAGCTATGGGGACACATTGGTTTTTGAGGTCAAAAGCTTGATCGTGCTTGGTCTGGCACACCAGCTCTTGAGCTACAAGTGTGCGCGCCTGGTACCATAATCAATGGACCTATTTTCGCGTAGGCCCCGCGTAGGCGATCGCGGAAGCAGCGCGTAAGCAAGAAGCTATTGGCTGCTGCTACTGCTTGGCTCCTGCTTTTGCTGCTGCTTTTGCTGCTGCTTGGCTGCTGCTGCTGCTGCCTCTTGTTTTCTGCTGCTTCTTTGCTGCTTGTTGTGTGCTGTTTATGTGCTGCTGCTTCCACACTGTAATTGGCTCGGCTTGCTACAAAATCTATTTGGCCATCGGTAGCAAAGCTGTAAACGCCTTGTAAACAGGAACCTGATGTGACCCGGTCGCATGGGGCCACTACTTGCTGATTATATTGTATAGCTCTTTTCGAGTCACCTGATGTGACTAAAGTTGGTGACAGTACCCTGCGTAGGCATCCCGTGTAGGCACCTAACAAAGAGAACCTCTCGCGTAGGCATTTGCTTGAGAGGGGAGCCCAGGCGTAGGCACCCGCGTAGGTACAGACCCAGTGTATAAGCCCCACACCACAAAAAAAACACAACTCACATCTTTTACTCCAACTGGTGCTCTTTCACCCCGCGTGAATGCAGATCCTCAATGGGGTCCGTTTCGTTTTCAAGCTTTTCGTTTAGTCAAGGGCACACCACAAAGCATGCAGCTACAATGTGTGGCCGGTCGCTGCCCAACATGCTCACCAAAGCGAAACAAACATGACATCGAGATCTTCCAACAGGTATCTGTTGCAGTGTCAAAGACAGGGGAACCCTCACTAGCAGGTCAATGCACCCCAAAATAGACGGGTCTTTAGTTTTGGAGATTTGTTGAGTCTTGATTGATTCAACTGGAACTTGTATTATGGAGAACCCACAACCCCTAGATTTTGGTATCTATTTTCCAATGCTAAAATCCTGTTCAAATGATTTCATCTCAAAAACAATCATGTCTCTTTTGACGCACAACACCACCCTATTGTTGACGCCGTTCCAACCTTCAATCATCTTTCCTCTAACGCTCTTCTTCTCCACACCTGCCCCCCAAAAACAGTCTGGTTGGAGGGCCCATCGCTTCCTTCGGTTGGAGCGCTCCTTGGACCCAGTCCGAGGCGCCCCGTGACGTCGCGGATCCGGAGCCACCGGGCGCCGGCGGCGTTGTGGCAGAGCTTCTGGCCCCGGTCGCAGATGAGGCCCGGGCGCCTCGGGACAGCGGGGGATGGGGATGGAGGCCAGCACGGAGGGGAAGGGATGGAAGCCTTTCTTTTTTGGGCTTTCAGCCGAGGTGGAGGGGGTTAACCTTTAGGCAAAGTACGCTGGCATAGACCCCAGATAGCAGTTAACCCTAATAACAAAAGCACCTGGAACAAAACATCATTTTTTCATGAAAAGATATCCGATATCCCATGAGAGCTTCCAGTGGGTCCAACAACACCTTTCCGCGTGCGCGTGGCTCCATAAATCTTGTCATCTTCTCAGAAGTGGGGAGACATGTAAGGAAACAAGTGGAAAAATCAGTGGGGAGACAAGTTAAGCGCCGATCGCGAGCAAACAGGGAAGATAAGGAAACAAGTGGGGAGACAAGCGCTGAAACAAAAAAGGAGACAAAGCAACACCGGCAAACACAACGCCGATCACAGAGGCAAGCAAGTGGGGAGGCATGTGCAGGAAACAAGTGGGAGACAAGGCAGCAGCGGCAGCGGTGGAGCAAAACGCTGATCAGCCTGCCAGTCATAGAGCTTTCTGTGTTGAGAAATAAGAAACCCTATAGTTTTCAGCTATATGGGGAAGACGCAAAAAAACTTATTACACTGGTCACGAGTCAGACCAGCCACGGCGATAAGGGTATGATAAGGGTCAGAGCTAGAGTTTGAGCACATCATCTTCACAACATTAACATCTTGTGAACATCTTGTGACCTTCTTTCTAGACTTTTTTCTAAAGAGAACTGGAGCCACAGGTGGGGGTCAGGAAATGATGAAGTGTGTGAGATTCGAGGTTTAAGGAGGGAGGGATTTTGGAGTGAGCTGAGTTGGTGAGGAGGCGGGAGGAGAAAGAGGAGGCCCAGGCCAGGTGGACAGGATGCACAGTACAAGTAAGAGCCCGACAAGAAGAATGCGGGGAATTAAGAAAACAAGTCCCAAGCATCAACCCACACTTTTGAGCACAGCCGCTGTAAAGAATCTCACGCCAGCCATCATTGAGTGGACGCTGCAGGGTTCTTGCATTGTAAAGGATCCACAGCCAAAAAGACATTACTTTACTTCGAGTGATCTCCAATTCTCCACCATGACATTTCAATCTGACAACATTTATGGCATGTATTGAAACATTATTGCAGCATTCTTTCTGGCATATCTTCTGATATTCTTTCTGACGTGTTTTCTGGCGTATCTTGTGACATTCTGTCTGGCATATCTTCTGGCATTCTTTCATCTGACATTCTATCGGGCATATCTTCTGCATGCATATCTTCTGACATTCTTTCTGACATTATGTTTGGCGTTCTATCTGGCATATCTTCTGACTCGCGGTTGAGGTCCAGCGGGGAACACTGCCATCGACACTCGCATTTGAGGAGGTGGAGGAGACGAGAGGAGGAGAAGCACGGCAGCTGACATTAAATTTAACAACCCTCACCTGACAGGTGGGGAATTACTGAACCTTGTATGGGACAGCAAGTTCAAGTCATCTTCCAACTTGGGGGATGGCTAAAATAGGTTGATGGGGGTCTCAGTTCAGTTTGTGGGATGATTGAGATGATGAATGGTGTCCGCTTTCATTTTTTGCATAAGAACACATGGAGGAATGACATAGCACGGTCAAGGATTGATGCTTTAGTCTAGCAAGTCTAGCTGTCAAGGCTAGCCCGTCAAAAACACACCAAACCCGCATAAGCTTCGATCCGCCAAGGCGCTCATGAAGCTCGGGCCTCGCCACGATCCCTTCGTGGTGATCCACCTGGCGGTCGCGATGTTTCGAGTTTGCGGCGTTGGTCCGAAGACCAAAGACCCAGAAAAACCTAGTCTTTTACCTCCTTAAGTATTGGTTTTGTCTGACAACTCTCCCAGGTTCAATGAGGTCAAGCTGACTTGTAGGGTTATATGATGTTATATGTCTTAACATGTTCTTTTTTGGCTGCTTGTCGTTCAGAGGTGGGATCCGTCATATTCTTTTTGCATGCCTTTTCAAAGAAACAAACGGACGATCCGACGACTCGGCCCAGGTGTTCTCCCAAAAAGAACTTCATCGATTGCATCAATCTTGTCAGAAACACCCGGGTTGGTGGCTCGCCCTTTAAACGAGGACCTTCCTGCACTGAGAAGAACTCTAAGAACATGACCCTGAACACCTCCAAACGAGTAGTGTTCTCGTATGACCAACTCCAGTAAAACGAGGTCAAGCTGACTTCTAGGGTGAACATTTAACGAAACTTCCCCATACTTCCCCCCAATGCTTTCAGGGTCTCCCAGCCTGACGTCAAACGCCCCAACACCCGATGACGAAAAAACCGAACACCAAACGCGCCAAAGGCCCGAGAGGAGGCCAGTTGTGTCGGTATGTGAAGGGGGAGAGTCAAAGACATCCAAATCACAAGACTGGTTGGGGGGGTTCAACCACTTGAAACAAACGAACATCTCAAGCAAACGTTGGTGGGACCCATCATATCAAGTCAAGATTGGAAAAAACATCTCTAAAACCACCACGAGACAGAGTCGAGGACCAAAGACGTCGCACCGAACCCCCTACGCCACACCGGGCATCCCCACGATGAAGCTGGAGCGAAAACCTGCGTTTTCCCTCACCGGTTTAAAGGACGAGGTGGCGAACGGGACGTGAACTTCATGGCATCTTGGCACTCGGTGGTCCCGGTGGTTTTTGTCCAGCTAACATGAACAGGAAGTGACTGCCTGACACAGGTGCCCTGGACACTGCCACAATCCGATTGATCAATCCGGGAAATGCCCAGATGGAGGCCCAAACGATGGGCGCACCAGAGCCGTGCACCAGGGCCTTCTTCTGTTTCTCACCGAGACTGAGACCATCGCCCGAGAGTGGGTCATTTCACGGAAGGAGGCACCGGCAAACTTGCTCTGGTGATCAAAGCCAAAGAAGGAATGACACAACACTGACTATGGAAGAAGCCCAATGAATGAGGTTTCGATCTATGTCGGCCTCAAACCTAAAACAACACTTCTTCTCTGACAATGGAGGGCCAATTCAGGCAAAACATAGCCAACTCCTCTTTTTGTCAAAGGCCGTCATCAAACACCAGTAGTGACAAATATACAGTAGTGACTTGGTGCACCCGTCCTACCACAGCCTATCATGGAATAGGGTTAGATCAACCGTCCTACCACTCCCACACTCGGAGGTGGACAAGGTGGACCAATGGCTCGATGGCTCGAAAAGACTTTCCTACGTCGAAGTCTTCGAATTTTCAGTTCTGGGTGTCTCTGTGTGGAAGTTGGAGTGAATCTTGTGCTAACTTATACTATATACCACAACTCAATGAGTACAACAGTATTAGTTCTACTGTTTAACCTAAATGAATTGTGTGAAGGAGTTGGAAAGGCTTCGCATGGACGTTGTTTCTGCATGGACGTCACCCAGCCAATTTAGCTCGAACACGTCGACAACATCCACGCAGCCACCGGTGGACTGAGGGGTCCGCACAAACACCATCCAAAACCCAAGCCGGTTTGACCCGGTTTACCTCTGCCCGGTGTGTTTTTCACCTGACCTCGCCAGCAATCCCATCTTCATCTCCATTCTGTTCACACAGAATGGCGGCTTGGTTTTTGGGGGCTCACGTCGACCCCTATCCCAACGAGCGACGTCCGGTCGTCGCTTCGTCGAAGCTCACTGATCCAACAGAGGTTTTTCATGACCCGAACGGTTCGACTATCCCAGGTACCCCGGGTACCCCAGGTTTTCCGGGTCCGTTCGTTCAGGTCACTGGCTACCTCTCTGAGGGGACTGATCTGCGAAGTAGAGTGAGTACCTGTCCTAGACGCGACCTGTTTGGGACGCATAGCATAGGACTGCCGAGAAACGGCCGGGGGTGGTGGTTTGAGGGGTCAATGGGGCGGCATACATGGCAGTCCCATGGAGCGTCTGGGTGTTTGCGAATCTACTATAGTTACTATATAGTACTGAACGCCTCCGGAGACTATATAGTAGGAATCGTATGTATAAATGAGAGAGGGCCAAAAAAGATTCTCAATAATAAACGATGGACATGTATTATTCCAATATGGTGATCTAATCCAAACATAACAAGAAATAACTCAAACAAATTCAAATCCGCCGGTGAACAAGGTTGGAGATGTTTTCAGATTATGATTCATGCTCGAACAACCCATGTAAACCCCAACCACACAACACCACAAACCAGGCTCCCTTCCAGCCACCTGTGCGTCTCCTCCCGTCCAGTCACTGGCCTGATGCCATCTTGGCCTTGGATTTGCTGGTTTCGAGTAAGCCGAGTAAACATGACAGAACGGAACAAAGACATCTTAACACACATCTTCTCCGGGTTCGGAATGTTCATCTCTACAAAAAAGAAGGGAAACGAACCCATCACGACTCGCTACCATGGAGGTGGACCCCCAATCTATCCACCGGCGAGTGCTATCTATCGGCCTCCACTTCCATTGCATGGGCGGTCGACGGGGTCTAAGTCTTTCCCTTCTTCCGGGTGGAACTGGGAGGTCGCCCGAGTCAAGCATCGCCCAAGCGGCGCCGTGCAGATCCTCGACGCCTTCCGGTACCTCGATGCTGTGGAGCCCGTTGCACCAGCGCCTCGGACCGGCGAGTCATGGCTGCGGAGGAGTGAGCAGCGGCCAAAGCTGCCCTGAGAGGTCGGGAACTGCATTTCACTGGAGTTGGTCCTTCCGACTGTTGGAGGTCAAGCAAGGACGTCCGGTTTTACGGGGTCAGACTGCACCAAACTTGGGGTGCCGCAAGAAAAACTCAGAAGGTGTATAGGTCCACCAGAACTCAATGTTGACGCGCTATATATAGGTATGATCCATGTCGTGTTAATCTGATGTAAAGGATCAATCTGGTGAAACATGAGCCCCTCTCAAAGATCGATAGAACCACTTCTCAAACGGTGAACAGAAATTTGTGGGACATCTTCCCTGTATACAGAACCTCTATAATCCAGCACCACTCCAAAGGGTGGTTTATAGACCCCCTGAAGATATATGTTCCATCCAACAACCACCCTTTGTATGGTGCTGGATTGCTGGATTGTCAGCAACAAAAATCCGTATTATACACAGTTAATGAGCTGCTATATACATTTTGTCAGGGAACAAAACGGAGAAAACACACTTCTAACCTTCGCTCCACCCCGACCGGGCTCTCGAACCAGCCGATTCCGACCGCTCCACTCGGTCGGCCAGCCCATCAGCCGGTTTGCAGCTTCGAAGTGGGGCACCGGGAAAGGTAGGTAGCAACACGAACCAATCTAAATCACCCAAACAAGCACCACCACCATCTTCTGCTCCAGTCCATTTGATGCTCTTCATGCGTATATATAAAAAAACAAAACACACACACAAAGAATCCAAGGATTGGAAACTTGCACCATGATTCAACATGATTCAACCACCCCCCCCAAAAAAGGGTTTCAGTCGGTTGCCCGCGGGCCATGCGAGGCACTCGTGCGGCACCGCAGCGGCGACCTGCGGAGGTTCGGACGCCGCTAAACACCGCTAAACGGGACAACGAAGCTGAAACGAAGGGCCAAGGACCTCGGCTTTGTTTTTGGGACATCTACATGAGACTCTACATGGGAAAAACTCTACATATATGGATCTACATGAGAAAAACTCTACATATATATATATATATGTTTGCAACTCCATTTGACGTGCACAAAAAACAGCTGCCACTCTC